GATGGGTGGTGGATGAGTGATAGGTGATGGATGGTGGATGGTCGGTGGATGAGTGTTAAGCGATGGATGGTGGATGGTTGGTGGGTGAGCGGTAGAAGTGATGTGTGGTTGATGAGTGGTAGGTGATAGGTGGTGGATACTTGGTGTATGAGTGATACGTGATGGCTGGTGGATGAGTGGTAGGTGATGGGTGTTGGATGGTTGGTAGATGGTTGGTAGGTGATGGGTGGTGGATGAGTGGTGGATGGGTGGTGGATGGGTGTTTAACGATGAGTGTTGGATGAGTTATAGGTGATGGGTGTTGAATGAGTGGTAGGTGATGGGTGATGGATGGGTGGTGGATTAGTATTAAGCGATGGGTGGTGGATTGTTGGTGGATGAGTGGTAGAGTGATAGGTGGTGGATGAGTGTTGAATAGACAGTAGTAGTGATAGGTAGTGGATAGGTGATATGGTGGATGAGTGTTAAGCGATGGGTGTTGGAGTTGGTGGTAAGGTGATAGGTAGTGGATGGGTGATGGATGAGTCTTAAGCGATAGGTGGTGGAGTGGTGTTGTATTAGTAGAGTGATAGGTGGTGGATGGGTGTATATGAGTAGTAGAGTGATAGCTGAAATGGAAGGGTTGTGGATGAAGGTAGTAGGTGATGGATGATAGTGGATGGTTAGTGGATGAGTGGTAGAGTTATAGGTAGTGGATAGGTGGATGGATGAGAGTGGTAGTGGATTAGTAGTAGAAGTGATGGGTGTTGAATAAAGTTAGTAGAGTGATAGGTAGTAGATGGGTTGTGGATAGAATATTAAGCGATAGGTAGTGAATAGTGTAGTAGAGTGATAGGTAGTAGAATGGATTGTTTGATAGAGTATTAAGCGAATGGTGGTAGGTAGGTAGTAGAGTGATAGCTGGTGGATGGAAGTTGTGAATAAGAGTGTTAATCGATATGTAGTGGATAAGGTAGTGGATGAGTGTTAAAATGATAGAGTGTTTGATGATTGGTAGAGTGATAGGTGGTAGAATAGGTAGATGAGAGTGTTAAGCGATAGGTGGTAGGTAGGTAGTAGTAGAAGTGATAGGTGGTGGATGGATAGTGGATGAGAGTATTAAACTTGATAGGTGGTAGGTAGGTGGTTAGTGATAGGTAATTGGATGGAGTTGTGGATGAGTAGTAAGTGATAGCTGGTAGATGGAAGGTTGTGAATAAAGTGTTAAGCGATAGGTAGTGGATAGTTGGTGGATGAATGTTAAGATTATTAAGTGATAGAATGATAGTTATGGAAGTGATAGGTAGTAAGATAGGTAGAATAACTATTTACTTGATAGGTAGTAGGTAGGTAGTAAGAGTGATAGGTGTATTGGATAGGTTAGTAAGATAGTATTAAAACTTAATAGGTTTATGTGGAGAGTAGTATTAAGTGATAGGTAGTGAATAGGTAGTGAATGAAGTATTAAGCATAGGTATTTCAGTTTTGTGAAAAGTGATAGCTAGTGGATAGGTTGTGGAATGAAGTGTTAAGCGATAGGTAGTAATAGATAGTTGAGTAGATACATGGTAGAGTGATAGGTAGTAGAATGGGAGTTGTGGATGAAGCTTACAAATAGTAGAGTGATAGGTGTTAAAATAGTAGTAGTAAGTGATAGGTAGGAGTAGAATGGAAGTTGTGGAATAATATTACTTGATAGGTAGTATAAATAAGTAGTAGAGTATTTAGTAGTAAATAAAGTGTTGGAATGAAGTATTAAGCAATAGGTAGTGAATAAAGTAGTAGAGTGATAAGGTTAGTAGATGGGTGTTGGATAGAGTTTAAGCGATAGGTAGTGGATAAAATTAGTAAGTGATAGCTGGTGGATAGGTTGTGAATAGAGTGTTAAGATGATATGTGGTAGATAGGTAGTGGATGAAGTATTAAAATGATAGGTATTTGATGATTAGTAGAGTGATAAAATAGTAGATGGGTGTTAGATAGAGTATTAAGCGATGGGTGGTGGAGTGAGGTAGTAGGTGATGGGTGGTGGATGGATGGTAGGATAGAGTGTTAAGCGATAGGTGAGTAGAGTGGAGTGGTTGGTGATGGGTTGAATGTATGGAGTGGTGGATGAGTGGTAGGTGATGGCTGGTGGATGGCTGGTGGATGAGTGTTAAGCGATGGGTGGTGGATGTGTGGTGGATGAGTGGTAAGTGATGGGTGTTGGATGATTGGGAGGTGATGGGTGGTGGATGAGTGTTAAGCGATGGGTGTTCGGTGGGTGGAAGGTGATGGCTGGTGGATGGGTTGTGGATGAGTGTTAAGCGATGGGTGGTGGATGGTTGGTGGATACGTGGTAGGTGATGTGTGGTGGATGGGTTGTGGATGAGCTTACAGAGTGGTAGGTGATGGGTGTTGAATGAGTGGTAGGTGATGGGTGGTAGATGGGTTGTGGATGAATGTTAAGCGATGGGTTGTGAATAAGGTAGTAGAGTGTTTGGTAGTAGATGGGTATTGGATGAAGTGTTAAGCGATAGGTAGGTAGGTGGGTGGTAGGTGATGGGTTTGGAATTGGGGTGGGTGGTGGATGAGTGGTGGATTAGTGTTAAGTGATGGGTGGTGGATGAATGTTAAGCGATGGGTGGTGGATGGGTGTTGGATGAGTTGTAGGTGATGGGCGTTGGATGAGTGATAGATGAGTGGTAGGTGATGGGTGGTGGATGAGTGGTTGATGAGTGGTAGGTAATGGGTGTTGGAGGGGTGTTGGATGGGTATTAAGCGATGGGTGGTGGATGGGTGTTGAATTACTCCTGTTGTAATGTGTCTCATGCATAAGTACATTGCATGTGCATTCGCTGATTACATCATTTGCAACGTATGAGTTAAGATTATATGCAGTCCCTTATCAAGCAAAGTTATTCCAACACAAACACATGCAAATGCATGGTAAATGGGTTGACCTGAACAAACAAGAAATAGGAAATTTCAACATAATAATCCCCCATGATATCACTGCGGAAGACACCAGAAATGGGCTTCACACATTGTGCCCATGTAGGGGATCGAAACCGGTCCTGCGACGAGCGGACTACCCAAGCGCCCCTGATGTACTTAGACACCTGGACTGCATTTAGCTGAAAACGTCCACATCCTAGACGACAGTGAACATGAACAGATACCATACGGAAATGCATACAGTTATTACGAATAGTGTTTTACAAAAGTTGCCTTGTATATTCAATCCATATCAGATATTTTGTATTACACATAAGTAAATAAGGTATACAAATCACAGGAAAAATAGAATCACTGAAATGCATACAATACTATTGAATAGTCATTTCAGAAATGTTTGAATCGTTCAACAACGAACGTTCTTTGTCATTTTCATCTTGGATCTCGCAATTGGCTTACAGTATTTGAAGCAGGCGGCTGGTAACTTAAAAATGATCAGTAGGATATAGGTGTATTTACTATAAAAAAACTGAAAACTTACTTTTAATTAACTTTCTTTTGGAGCACGGTACATGTAAATGGCCAATTTCTAAGGAAAACCAAGTTCTTTGGATAGTCAACTTCTTCCATGCAATGAATACGATGTTTCGGTGTAGATGCTAAATCGTTATCAAACAAGTGACTTAACCGAAACGTCGCAATCATTGCAATAAAGGAGCTGACTATCTTTAGAACTTGTTTTTTTTTCTTCATTAAAACTTCTAAAATGCCTCTCAAAGGAGGTCAATGTCTATACTAAGCATCATGACATGGGCAGAAACTAAATAGGTAATAATGTCATTTATGATGGCCTCAAACAGACATGAAACTTTACTAAAAGTATCTATGTAAACAACGCTTACATAATTCAAATCATTTATTTCCTTGCTCACAAAGTTTAAATTAATACATTAACTATATACATCGGTACATTTATTCGCTCATTCATTTTTTCCATCACATTATAATGCGTATAATACGAATATGTACCTATGAAAACATGTTTTTAACGCCGCACTCAGCAATATTCCAGCTATATGGCGGCAGTCTGTAAATAATGGAATCTGGACAAGACAATCTACTGATCAACACCATGCGCATGCGATCAACTGGGATACGATGACAGGTATCAAACAAGTCAGTCTGACCACCCGATTCCGTTAGTCGCCTCTTACGACAAGCATGGGTTACTGAAGAGCAGCTCTAACCCGGATCTTTACGGGTCAAGTACACACTGATGTGAACAGCTCATGGGAAGTATTCTTTCCACGGTACGCCGACAACAGCATTGCCACGACATCGTGCTTTGTTGTATAACGTGTTTAAACAGACAGTCACCCACTTGGCCAGAGTTGACCGTTCTCACTGCTGTTCCTGTGACTCAGTTATTATTAAAGAGATCCTTTTGTCATATAAAGAAGCAGGACACAGTTGTGTTTCATGGAAACAGGAAATATTACGTGTACACAAGTTCAAACAGATTTCACTTATGAGATGACATTCATTTTGGGGATATTTCGTCACAACCTGTCTGCTTTCATAAACACAAGGTTGAAATGTATTCAGAAGCGGATAGTGGTTTATTTGATAACATATCAATACAGACAGAAATATATTAAAATAGTTATGCCTACACGTTAAATGATTTTAATACGTAATTTGCTCTGGCAGCTTAAAATATTTGGTTGTTGTTTAACGCCGCTCTCAGCAACATTCCAGCTCCATGGCGGCGGTATGTAAATAATCGTGTCTGGACAAGACAATCCAGTGATCAACATCATGAACAACCGGCAAACTGTAGCGCAAAAAGGGCTGTGCAACAGTGAGAAAATTACCAGTCTTTTTTTATGCGAGGGAAGCGAGCAAAAGTTGGCAACGTACTTCCCTCGCTTCGGTTTGAAGAATATTTTTATTATCAAAATAAAATATCGCCACTATCATAGGTAGACACCCATTTCCTCCCAGGCTTGTGCTCTCAGATTTCCAACCTCACATTTAATAATTACTCACGTAATTTATATCTAATTCAACATTTTAAGCTCCACTCGTGGCATATCAAATCGTTCTTCGCCTGCATTACCCCTGCCAGCTTCCGGTTCAATTGACAAGACAATCCAGTGATCAACATCATCAACATTGATGTATATAATGAAAGTGCAGATCAGGTTCAGCGTTGTAAACAATGCCGGAGACGCATCCAGAATAACTCCCTGTCTTCCTCCTCTACAGGCCACGTGATGTAGGTTGTCGTCTGCAGCAGGGCATACAGTGATGACGTCATGTTCTGGGCGTGTATTTCCTCCAGCAGCACCACCATGACGTATCCGTCATCCTGCTCCAGAGAACGTTTCAGAACCAGAGTTAGCTCAAACAGACACCATGGACTCTGACTGAAATTGTCGGACAGCACTAGGACTATGTTCCTGCTGTTTTCCAGACTCTTCACAATGTTGTCCACTATGTAAAACCCAGGGGTAAAATCTCTCTCATGTATACATAACTTTAAATTGCCATCAGTTTCAATTTTTGGCAGCAAGTTATTTCGTATCCACCAAGAATCATCTTCACAATACAGAACAAATGCGTCATAGATGAATGCTTCCTCTCTTTCAACGTTTCGCTGCCTCTGTCTAAATCTCAGCATGTAAACGCAATATCGGATGTGCCAACGCCATCTGTATGTAAGGGAGATAATCACTAACAACACAATTGCTGCAATGGACAGGCCAAAAATAATAGGAAACATGTAAGGTGAGATTTGGCAGGTCTGTTCAGAGATGTTGGCATCAATGAGACGTTTTGATTGGAGTTCAGTAGGATATCCGCACACATAATTATCGGGGAAGTAATCAAATATATTTTTATCTGATTTTATCCAGGTTATGAACCAAAGATTTGCGCAAGTACAGACATAGTTGTTAACTGCTAGGTTGATATATTTAAGTTGGTTTCTCAGATTTACCGGGAAATTTGCTTCATGTATAACTTCGATAGCATTCTCTGATAAACTAATGTGCTGGAGTTTCTTCAAGTTGTTGAATAATCCCTGTTTTAACCGCATTATTCTGTTTCCGTGCAGATCGATTGTTCGTAGTTCTACTAACGTTGATAGGACCTCGGGGAAGAATGATAATTGGCATCGTGACATTTTTATCACTTGTAAGGTGTGTAAATCACCAAGAAGTACATTTAAATAGGTGTCGTTAAAATATATCATGACATTGTATGACAAAATGAGTCTTGTAAGTCCTGTACACCCTTTAAATGCATTGGGATTAACGATCAATTTAAAATACCCAAACCGAGCGATACTTGCAAGATAAAGTACTTTGACAACACTATTATTAAACGCATATGGCTCTATTCTTACTGTCTCTGCATATCCCCTTTCTTTAAAAACACCATTAAGACTTAAGATATCAATTTGAGGTAGTAACGAAAATGTACCCGGGGTAAGTGTGATTAATCTATTTCCACCTAAACCGAAATACTTCAAGTTAATGAGACACACTAAACTTTGTCTCGACAGATGTCCTATATTATTTCCACTCAGATCTATTTTAACCAAATTAGAATGGCTACTTCCAGAACAAAATTGTGGAAGTATCGACAAACGGTTCCACTGGAGAAAAAGGTGAGTAATTCCTTTGGGTACAGCATCTCGTATTTTATAGATATCATTTCCTTTGGCTGATAATCTCTGGAGAACCTTTAGCTCACGAAATACAGTAAAATCCAATGTTTTGATGTTATTTCCTTCGATGAAGAGATCTGTGAGTTTCAATCCAGTGAGTCCTTTGATAAACTCTCCTGTGATATTAACGCCCATCTTATTATGTGATAGGCTGAGGTATCTGAAATTATGCTGCAGGCTGTAGAAGGTTTGTTGTAGAATTACTTCAGACACATTATTATAGCCAAGAAAAAAGAACTTCAAGCTCTGTAAGATCCTGAAATGCATCACTGGAGATGTGTTTAATACTGTTGTTGGTAAGTGCTAGAACTCTTATGTGCGTCATATGGTAAAAGGTCATTCTTGATATGCTTTCTAAATAGTTAGTTGAAAAGTTTAGCTGTTCAGTTGAGGGGCTCAGGTCAGGAATCGTTGTAAGATTTCGTCCATTACCTACACAACTGACACATTTCGAGGTGCAGTTACACATGTTTTTGAAACATGGTGTCCACTCTTCTCCACACTGTACCCGGTCGAGGTTCTTAGCGACTGTTTCCTGTGGAATCCCACACAGGGTAAGTACTAACATCAGAGGGAGTATTTCCATCATTTACATGAAATCCAAATATTTCCAGAATCCTAATCTGAAGAATAAACGAAAGAAGATCATATTTACATATTTTATAAAGTGTACCAAAACTATTGTTCATTAAAGAGGTCGCATACTGTGGTTTGTGCGCATACCGTATGCAACGGGATGTGGCAGTAGGGGGGCGTATTTATGTTATGTTTCCCTTTATCTTCCTTCTAATCATACTTCATGATATTTTGACCACACAATCATTTATCCTGAGTTAAACCTGGGCAAGAGTTATCTCCCCTTATCAAATTTAGGTTGGGTATGCTGTTTTAATTACAGATAATGTTGATACCCTCTGGTAACATATTAATATTGATCTAGTGTGAATTTACTATATAAAAATTCATTTACAAAAAAATCTTGTTATTATAAAAATCTTTTTTTTCATTAATGAATCAATACATTTTTTAAATTCCTGTTTTTGTAGAAGTTAATGAATGTGTCAAATCCTACATACTGCCTTGAAAATTGATTTTCCTGCTTTATTTCATTCAATACTGAAATATCTTTATAAAAAAACACATATTGAATAATAAAAGTAAACAATTTACTTTTAAGAGAACTTTTATTGACATATTACTTTTTACAGACGGTGACACAAGGGGGCGCCACTTGTCAAACAAATGCCGTGGTGACTTGCTATTTTTTTTATTACATAATTAGATTCGGGACACATTTTTCAACAAAATTATACCAAATTTAGCAATTTCTTGACATTTTGATATTTAGTATGCAACCTCCTGAAGTGATAACATGTTATATTACATGACGAATGCTTTTTGTGAATATACATAAAACGTCAACGCCACTACTCGACTATCTACTGATTCCACCAGGCTTAAAAAACATCCATCCATCCATCCATCCCCACTAGCATTGGCCTTGGTATGACTTTGAAAAACCGGTATCTTCCCATTATGACTACTCCCAGTTTGACTACTCATGAACATAAACGGTTCATTCCCATTATGACTACTCCCAGTTTGACTACTCGTGAACATAAACGGTTCATTCCCATTATGACTACTCCCAGTTTGACTACCCGTCTAATACACAACCTGTTCCAGTCGAGTGTTTTTTATTACTAGCTCTCTCCCCTCCATCAGGTAGACTGTTCCACCAACACTTATACACAATTATAGCCTGTACCAATATTGATTCAGCTAATTACATAGGTCATTGTTGTGGAAGAGTTCAAGTATACACTTATACTGAGTTGCACGATATATCATATACACTACATAGTAAGTGAATTAAGAAGTTAGTGTGCTGTATAATATTTTGACTATGGGCAGCACAAGCGACACGGACTTTGTAAACACTGTGATGGGTGCGCCATTGACAATTTAATGAACTCTGGTACTTTAATATGGTTTAAACATATTTTTATTTCGTCAAAGCAGAAGCCTGGACAGGCGAACAAGCCTAGTGGCAATTAATAACGTCTCTCCAGGACATTGTTCCAATAGCTGGATACATAATTGGAATAATCTGACAACAAAAGAATGATACTGGGACAAAATAACAGATAAATGATTGAATAATAACTATGGTCGTTATGGTGTTGGTTATGCCTAGCAACGAAATGATCTGCCGCAGAAGTTATATAAAACTTGTGGTGATAATCACTGGAATCATTTTAGAAATGAACTGGTGTAATGAGTTGTAATTTCGCTGTTAGGCATAATCAACACCATAACGAACATATTGAATCTCTGGTCTCCTTAGGGCTCCTTTTCAATTTAAATGGGCTTGTTTGTTACTATCAAAATTATATATGTTCAGAGATTGAGCATTAGTCCATGTATGTGTATACTTGAACTCTTCCACAACAGTCGCCTATGTAATTAGCTGACTCAATATTGTATGAAGCTGGTACGGGTATAATTGTTTATAAGTGTTGGTGGAACAGTCTACCTGATGGAGGGGAGAGAGCTAGTAATAAATACCACTCTACTGGAACAGGTTGTGTATTAGACGGGTAGTCAAACTGGGAGTAGTCATAATGGGAATGAACTTAGAATCATAATTGGGGCGAACCAGGATTCGAATCATAGGTTCCTGGCATGACCAAGGGACGGAACTCTGTACAACGAGACCAAATCACCCGTAAGCGCTATCAATAGAATGAAATATCGTTTCTCAAAATGAAAATGTGGCTGTTTCTATGCATATTGGATATATGTAAGAATGAAACACTGACCTTTCAGTCCTCGTAATATCTGAATGATTCCCAGTCAGGATGAGATTTATGAATTACAAATTATTTCACAAAGTAGTTGGTGTGTTAATGCTGGCGTCTAAGTTTAAACTGAGGCGGGTTCAAATTGAAAAATACATTTAACATTGAGATATCATTATCAGCTACTACGTGCAGGAATATGAAAACGAGGAACATGTCCTGGCTTAATATCAATAAGGAAACACACGTCAACATAACATGAGTTAAAGGGCAGAGACGGAAGTAACAAATCACTGAAAAGGAGAATCACCGAACTCGCTCCAATAACGACACACTGAGTGCAAGGTCAGATGCAGTTGTTAACTAATCAAAACGATATGATGAAATATTTGATTGAGAGAGAGAGAGAGAGAGAGAGAGAGAGAGAGAGAGAGAGAGAGAGAGAGAGAGAGAGAGAGAGAGAGAGAGAGAGAGAGAGAGAGAGAGAGAGAGAGAGAGAGAGAGAGAGAGAGAGAGAGAGAGAGAGAGAGACCTTCCAGTGACACTATGACACTATTACAAAACCGAGCTTTTAGTCAAGGGCTTCAGTTTAAATTTAAACTTTAAATCCGTTAATGGTCCACCACTACTCATGGAGGAGAAGCTGCTAATTCAGTTAGGTCGCAAAGCTAGCCCATTCACACAAAAGAATTGGACAGCACCATGATGACTTTTCTGCTCCTTTCCAAACTGGTTACAATATTATCAACTATATATTCCCCAGGAATAAAGTCTCTTTCGTGAATACACAGTTTTAATTTGGCTTCATCTTCAATCCTTGGTATGATATTATTTCTTACCCAAGGGGAATCATCTTCACAGTACAGCACAAACGCGTCATAGACGTATATCGTTTCATCAATTGGCTTCCTCCTTTTGTATCTCAACATGTGCAAACAATAGCGAATGCTCCAACGTAATCTGTAGGCAATGGAGAGAACTACTATAAACACTATTGAAACTAAGGACAAACCAAAGATTATGGGAAACACATAAGGTGAGATTCGACAAGTCTCTTCAGAGATGTTGGCATCAATGAGAAGCGTTGATTTGAGGTTCAATGGATATCCGCATTGATAGGACTCGGGGGATTTAATGAATTTACTTGTATCTTCCTTCGCCCACGTAATGAACCAAAGATTAGCACAAGTACAGACAAAATTATTGAAAGCCATGTTCACTGTTGACAACTGCTTTCTTATTGGTATAGGAAATGGAGCTTCACTAACGACCTCAATGGAATTTTGTGAGAGATTCAAACTTTCGAGTCTTCTCAAGTTAGTGAAGACTTCTGGAGGTACAGACATAATTCTGTTTCCGTGAAGATCAATTTGTGTAAGTTGTTGGAGATTAGATATTACACTGGGAAAAAAGGATAACTGACACCTTGCCATTCGTAGGACCTCTAATTTGTCAAGTCCAGAAAGGAGATTTTGAAGATAGCTGTTGTTTAAATAGATCATAGCGTTGTAGCACAGGTCCAAATAGGCAAGTTCCGTACATCCTCTCAGTGCCTTTGGGTTAACAAGGTAATCAAAATATCCAAATTTAGCAATGCCTGAAAGAATAAGCTTTTTCACTGCACTATTATTGAATGTATATTCCTCCAGCACCTCATCGATTGAGTAACTTCTGAAAGCATTGTTAATAGAAATATGTTGAATATTTGACAATGATGAAAAGGTATTTGAATAAAACCTCCAAAACATGTTGTCTCCGAAAGTTACATATTCTAAATCTGTAAGACATTTCAAACTAATATTTGACATATGTTCAATGGCATTTTGACCTATATCTAAATCTCGAAGTTGTGAATAATTGATATCACTACAAAATCTGGGAAGCACTGTCAGGGAATTTGAAAGGAAAGAAATATGGATCAAATACCAGGGAACATCAGCTGATGTCCAAGAAATGTCGTTGTGAGCCACACTTAGATCACGGAGTGACTTCAGACGAGATATCACAGAAACATTCAAATGCGTGATATGATTGTATTCAATTATAAGAGTATTTAATTTGAGTCGTGAAAGCGCATGCACAAAGTCTTCCGTAAGATTTCGAAAATATTTGTTATTTGACACATCAATAGAGCGAACTGTATTTTGAAAACCGTTGAGTGATTTCTGAAGGTCCTTAACGTGTACAGTGTTGTACCTAAGATCCAGGACTTCTATCCGGGACATATCTTGAAATGCATCACCAGAAATGTAGGTGATGCTGTTGTTTCATTAACAGAACAGAGGATCCGGGTTAGAATTGGTCTTCAGCAACCGGATTCAATTACTTTTGGTTTAATGATACATAGAAATATAACCCTTTCCCCAACCATAAGAGATACCTGCTGACAGTAGAGAGGAATGTACAGTTCCGACTTAATCATGAGCATGAATCCCTATCAATGTGTTCGCGAAAATGGTGAGCGTATCATGCACCATCTGCAGCCAGAGATGAAATTGTTGCGGAACTGTTTAAGTGACAAATGTTCATACAGGTAGCTGTTGTTTTTCTGACAGCGTCACTCAACACATTCAGTGCCTCGTTACTCGCATCATGTGTCAAACGAAATACAGTTGTTGTCAATGAAACAGTTAGTTGCTAATAAAATGGTAATGGACGTTCTGAAGTAGGTGAGGTGAAGGTGAGGTGAAATTGGGTTTTACGTCGTGTTTGAGAATATTTCGCTCATATGACGACGTGCATGCGTGTGTATGTGCGGCTGCTTGTACTAGCCCAGACTGAAGCTGGTTTTATAGCGCTACCCCTTTGAGATACCATGCCGCAGTGAAGCATGAATACCCCACTTAGACACATTATACTGACTCCCGAGCCGACCAGTCCTTGTTGTACCCATTAATGCCGAGCGCCAGGCAGGGACCAACAAGTACCATATTTTAACGTCTTTTGGTATGACGCGGTCGGGGATCGAACCCGCGACCTTCCGCTCTCCGGGCGGACGCTCTAACTACACCACGGAGGCGGTCGTTCTGAAGTACAATATGAAAGTATACAATCATTCCTGTCATAAATGTACCAGCGAAATCAATGTTACGCAGATTTAACTGGAACGTACATATACTGGCTATTAGCTCTTAGATTGACAGCTACTTACAAACATTTTGAAGGCTGTCCCCGCCTTTAGTCATATGGGTTTTACATTAAACGAACACTTTGACATACCTGCAAATGTGTCTGTAAGTGACGTATGACGGCGATGTAAATTATATTTGAAGCCTTTTGTTCTAAGGATTTCTCGTGAACATATCAAGTCAAGTGTTCACAGGTACACGGCGTTCTGGACACTATCTGTAGTGTGGGGTGATATGCTGATTAAAATGTTATTTATACCCATTTCCTCGTCATGTGATCAATTTGAGAGTGTGGCATGAGTAATTGAGTGAACGAATATTTATCGAGGTATCATAAATTTGCACATGTGTATATTTTCGCCGTATAAACAGGCCTTATAGACTAATAATCATCATCCCATCTAAATTGAAAAAGAGCGGTAGGTGATGGGTGGTGGATGGGTGTTGAATGAGTGGTAGATGATGGTTGGTGAATGAGTGGTAGGTGATGGCCGGTGGATGAGTGGTAGGTGATGGGTGGTGGATGGTGGTGGATGAGTGTTAAGCGATGGATGGTGGATGAGTGGTAGGTGATGGGTGGTGGATGAGTGGTAGGTGATAGGTGGTGAATGGTTGTTGGATGAATGGTAGGTGATGGGTGGTGGATGAGTGATAGATGATAGGTGGTTGATAGGTGGTGGATGAGTGTTAAGCAATGGGTGGTGGATGAGTGGTAGGTGATGGGAGGTGGATGAGTGATAGATGATAGGTGGTTGATAGGTGGTGGATGAGTGTTAAGCAATGGGTGGTGGATGAGTGGTAGGTGATGGGTGGTGGATGGTTGGTGGATGAGTGTTACGTGATGGGTGATGGATGTGTGGTGGATGAGTTTTAAGCGATGGGTGGAGGATGAGTGGTAGGTGATGGGTGGTGGATCGTTGGTGGATGTGTGGTAGGTGATGGGTGGTGGATGTGTTGTGGATGAGTGTTAAGCGATGGGTGATGGATGGGTGGAGGATGAGTGGTAGGTGATGGGTGGTGGATCGTTGGTGGATGAGTGTTAAGCGATGGATGGTGGATGAGTGTTAAGTGATGGGTGGTGGATGAGTGTTAAGCGATGGGTGGTGGATGAATGGTGGATGAGTGGTAGGTGATGGGTGGTGGATGTGTGGTGGATGAGTGGTAGGTGATGGGTGGTGGATGAGTGGTGGATGAGTGTTAAGCGATGGGTGGCGGATGAGTGGTAGATGATGGGTGGTGGATGGGTGTTGGATGAGTGATAGGTGATGAGTGGTGGATGAGTGTTTAGCGATGGGTGGTGGATGGGTGGTAGGTGATGGGTGGTGGATGAGTGTTAAGCGGTGGATGGTGGATGAGTGTTAAGCGATGGGTGGTGGATGAGTGGTAGGTGATGGCTGGTGGATGAGTGTTAAGCGATGGGTGGTGGATGAGTGGTAGGTGATGGCTGGTGGATGGGTGGTGGATGAGTGGTAGGTGATAGGTGGTGGATGAGTGGTAGGTGATGGGTGGTGGATGAGTGGTAGGTGATGGGTGGTGGATGAGTGGTAGGTGATAGGTGGTGGATGGTTGGTGAATGAGTGTTAAGCGATCGGTGGTTGATGAGTGGTTGGTGATAGGTGATGGATGGTTGGTGGATGAGAGGTAGGTGATGGCCGGTGGATGGGTGGTAGGTGATGGGTGGTGGATGAGTGGTAGGCTGATGGGTGGTGGATGAGTGGTAGGTGATGGGTGGTGGATGGTTGGTGGATGAGTGGTAAGTGATGGCTGGTGGATGAATGGAAGGGGACGGGTGGTGGATGAGTGGTAGGCTGATGGGTGGTGGATGGTTGGTGGATAAGTGGTAGGCGATGGCTCGTGGATGAGTGGTGTGATAGGTGATGGACAGGTGGACGGGTAGGTGATGAGTGGGTGAGTGGTAAGTGATGGCAGTGGATGAGTGGTAAGTGATGGCTGGTGGATGAGTGGTAAGTGATGGCTGGTGGATGAGTGGTAAGTGATGGCTGGTTGATGAGTGGTAAGTGATGGCTGGTGGGTGAGTGGTAGGTGATGGGTGGTGGCTGGTGGATGAGTGATAGGCTATGGATGGTGGATATATGGATGGTGCTGGGTAGGTGCTGGGTGTTCATTCAGCTACGGATGGAATCGATTCCGGCGTTGTTATTTGACCTGCCAGATTCTTTTGATTCATTAAAATGAAAAGGAATCACAGAAGTGTATACACATATTACTTAATTACGTTTTAGGCAAAAATAATGTTAATGCGTTTGAAAATCCCGTGGATGTTGTTTCAGTACCTATAATACCTATAAATATATCTTACTAAAGAAACATCATCTTAATTCAATGTTAATTCGAAAAAGTGGTACCTGTAAATGGCCAAGCCTTGTAGTGTAGTAAGCGCCATGACAAATGCAGCAAATGATGGCTGGTGGGTGAGTGGTAGGTGATGGGTGGTGGATGGGTGGTGAATGAGCGCTACGTGATTGCCGGTGGATGAGTGGTAGGTGATGGGTCGTGGATGAGTGGTAGGTGATGGGTGGTGAATGAGTGTTAAGTGATGGCTGGTGGATGAGTGGTAGGTGATGGGTGGTGGATGAGTGTAACGTGATGGCCGGTGGATGAGTGGTAGGTAATGGGTGGTGGATGGGTAGTGGATGAGTGAGAAGCGATTGCTAGTGGATGGGTGTTATGTGATGGGTGGTGGATGAGTGTCACGTGATGGCCGGTGGATGAGTGGTAGGTGATGGGTGGTGGATGGGTGGTGGATGAGTATTATGTGATGGATGGCTGGTGGATGAGTGTTAAGTGATGGTTGGTGGATGAGTGGTAGGTGATGGGTGGTGGATGAGTGGTAGGTAATGAGTGGTGGATGAATGTTATGTGATGGATGGCTGGTGGATGAATGTTAAGTGATGGTTGGTGGATGAGTGGTAGGTGGTGGGTGGTGGATGAGTGTTAAGATGATGGTTGGTGGATGAGTGGTAGGTGATGGGTGGTGGATGAGTGGTAGGTAATGAGTGGTGGATGAATGTTATGTGATGGATGGCTGGTGGATGAGTGTTACGTGATGGTTGGTGGATGAGTGGTAGGTGATGGGTGGTGGATGAGTGGTAGGTAATGGGTGGTGGATGAGTGTTATGTGATGGATGGGTGGTGGATGAGTGTTAAGTGATGGTTGGTGGATGAGTGGTAGGTGATGGGTGGTGGATGAGTGTCACGTGATGGCTGGTGGATGAGTGGTAGGTGATGGGTGGTGGATGGGTAGTGGATGAGTGGTAGGTGATGGGTGGTGGATGGGTGGTGGATGGGTGGTGGATGAGCGTTAAGTGATGGGTGGTGGATGAGTGGTAGGTGATGAGTGGTGGATGAGTGGTTTGTGATGGCTGGTGGATGGGTGTTGGACGAGTGTTACGTGATGGCTGGTGGATCATTTGTAGGTGACGGGTGGTGGATGGGTCGTGGATGAGTAGTAGTTGATGGGTAGTTGATGGTTGGTTGATGAGTGGTAGGTGATGGGTGGTGGATGAGTGTCACGTGATGGATAGTGGATGAGTGGTAGGTGATGGGTGGTGGATGAGTTGTAGGTGATGGGTGGTGGATGAGTGGTTTGTGATGGCTGGTGGATGGGTGTTGGACGAGTGTTACGTGATGGCTGGTGGATCATTTGTAGGTGACGGGTGGTGATGGGTGGTGGATGAGGGTCGGTGTTGATGAGTAGGTGAAGTTGATGGTTGGTGGATGGTAGTTGATGGTTGGTGGATGAGTGGTAGGCGATAGTTGATGGTGGTGGATGAGTGGTGGATGAGTGTTGGATAGTGATGGTGGATGGTGTTAAGTGATGTGGTAGGTGGTGATGGGTGGTGGATGGGTGGTGGATGAGTGTTAAGTGATGGGTGATGGATGAGTGGTAGGTGATGGGTGGTGGATGGTTGGTGGATGAGTGTTAAGTGATTGGTGGTGGATGAGTGGTAGGTGATGGGTGGTGGATGGGTCGAGGATGAGCGTTAAGTGATGGCTGGTGGATGAGTGGTAGGTGATGGGTGGTGGATGGGTGGTGGATGAGTGTTAAGTGATGGGTGGTGAATGAGTGGAGGATGGGTGGTGGATGAGTGTTAAGTGATGGGTGGTGGATGAGTGGTAGGTGATGGGTGGTTGATGAGTGGTAGGTGATGGGTGGTGGATGGGTGTAAAGTGATTGGTGGTGGATGGGTGGTGGATGAGTGTTAAGTGATGGGTGGTTGATGAGTGGTAGGTGATGGGTGGTGGATGAGTGTTAAGTGATGGGTGGTGGATGAGTGGTAGGTGATGGGTGGTGGATGGGTCGTGGATGAGTGTTAAGTGATGGCTGGTGGATGAGTGGTAGGCTATGGATGGTGGATATATGGATGGTGCTGGGTTGTAGGTGCTGGGTGTTCATTCAGCTACGGATGGAATCGATTCCGGCGTTGTTATTTGACCTGCCAGATTCTTTTGATTCATTAAAATGAAAAGGAATCACAGAAGTGTATACACATATTACTTAATTACGTTTTAGGCAAAAATAATGTTAATGCGTTTGAAAATCCCGTGGATGTTGTTTCAGTACCTATAATACCTATAAATATATCTTACTAAAGAAACATCATCTTAATTCAATGTTAATTTGAAAAAGTGGTACGTGTAAATGGTCAAGCCTTGTAGTGTAGTAAGCGCCATGACAAATGCAGGCAAATTGATACACCGTTAGGAGCTGCATCAAGAAATACTGTATTCAAGACCTCAAATAGAATATGACCGTTCTGTGTGGGTCTGCTGACGTCTTACAAGAAAATATTACCAGATGTAGCCAAAATGATAACAGGTGTAAGTAATCTTATACCCAGTGTCACCCGTGAAGATCCGGGTTAGAAGTGATCTTCAGTAACCTATGCTTGTCGTAAGAGCGATAACCACACTGACGGGATCGGGTGGTCAGGCTCGCTGACTTGGTTGACACATGCCATCGTATCACAAATGCGTAGATTAATGCTCGTGATGCTGATCATTGGATTATCTGGTCTTGATTATTTTCAAACCGCCGCCATATAGCTGGAATATTGCTAAAAGCGGCGTAAAACTCGCTCATTCACTCAACTTATGTTCTTGTCTGTCTGAGATACTACAGTTCATTTGGTAAAGAAAATAGAAACAGCAAGTATACTTGTGACGTCATTGTAACACAGCACGTTACCGATACATGATATGGATACGAAGGCACAGTAGCGAGAAGACGAGGCGAATCTGTCTTGGAACACAGCCAAGTATTCCGTCACACGAATGTTCTCTATGAACAGTGATCGCTTATGAAAGCCCCGTTCACTGTCAATCAGTCGTTATGCATTAACACCCAACAGTAAGGAAGCAGGACATTAAACGTAGTTTCGATTCGGACTGTTTTACATTTCTAATTCGTGTCTCGCAACAGGAATATTTAGTTTATACAAATGAAATAGAGTTGAAAAGCATTCGAGGGCATCGTCTCATACTGATAGCTTTCATCCAAACAAGGATAAACAAATACACTCTCAAGCGGATACTGGTTTATTCAAGAAAATATATATAAAGACAACCGTGTTACCCGTGAAGAACCGGGTTAGACTGGGTCTTCAGCAACTCATGCTTGTCGTAAGAGGCGTCTAACGGGATCGGTTTGGTTGACACATGACATCGTATCCCAGTTTCGTAGATCGATGCTCATGCTGTTGATCACTAGATTGTACAGACCTCCGCCATATAGCTGGAATATTGTAGAGTTAGGCAACAACCAAACAAATCAAATACCATGTACAAACTGTAGCGTCAACCTTAATCACCGAAGAAAAAGAAAACGGTTATGCAAGGTCATCGCGAGCCGATGCAATATGCACTTACAGCTCGAAAGTATTTTAGAGTCAATATATTTTTCAATTTCTACCCAACCTTACAGAAACATGGACATATTTCATAAATTTGTTGTATGTCGAACACAAGACCAGACATAGCAGCATTAAGTCCTCTTATCGCAAGCATAGTCCAACGAGTGGGTACCAAATTTGGTAGATTGATCGTGTCATATTTTCGTCATGTCGCATCAGATGTCTCAAAGATACATAGTTTCGTCAAATATTGCCTATTGAATGCCATTGATTGAGGAACCCTGTTGATAAATACATTGAAAGTCAGAGTTATTGTGACAGAAGAACCTGGTACAGTGAAATGATATTTGGGTCTGGTAACGATCAAAAGTTCATACGAACAGCAAATCTGGCATATGCAAATAAGCCACGTCACAAGTAGGTTCTCACGGTCAGCTGACACGTGCTCCCTCTCGCAAGTGCTCATTGTGTAATGTATTCACAGGAAAAACTATAGACAATTACATGCAATAAATCTTAGATATTTACACTTTGTATGAAAAACAGTAAGCTAAGGATTGACACAGAACACGTTGTACCTTCAAACAAACTTCATTAACACACTCACGCCGAAGACCCGGGTTCGAATCCCGACATGGGTACAATGTGTGAAGCTCATTTCTGGTGTCCCCGCCGTGCTATTGCTGGAATATTGCTAAAAGTGGCGGAAAACCAAACTCAGTCAGTCAGTCTTTAACACACAAGCTTCAAACAACAGTAATGTAAACCTAACGGACTAGTTCAGCACTCCGCCTATATCTCTCATTTAGCTTTAGCGTTATCACATGCCGTTTATCAATATCATATGCTGATTACACCATAACTCACTCACTCACTCACTAATCTGACGAATGCAACGAGAGTTATGACAATTAACAATCTCCTCTACTGAAACTGAAACAAGACGCTACTTTGTGTGATTCAGAAGAAATGTATTTCTTTGCGTCACTTAACATCCGCGCTTTTGTCATTAATATTACCAGCGCAAGGAAGCAGGAAGCAGAACTCTTTATCCATGCTTGGCAGTTGACATTTTATTTACGTAGCCAAATTCCAGGGTGTGCCCTGTGAGGTTTCGGTATTCTTGATTTGGAAAAAATATATGGTGTTCCTCACCCAAATGTTCACATTTCTTTTAACACACACACACACACACACACACGCACGCACGCACGCACGCACGCACACGCACACACACACACTGATAATTGACCAGTCTCAATTAGCAACTCCAAAGTATATCTCACAATAAAAGTTCTTAACCGTCGCTTATTGGGCTTACAAGTATCAAGTATCAGAACTATAAGATCTTTGCAATTATGATTGCAAACGACCTTGTAAAATGATGCAGTCTCGAACAAACTCGTTAGAATAATAAATTACCAGTACCAATTTACATCTCAATGTATATCTCACAACGAAAGTCAACTTTATACCAAATATTCGTATCCTCACATCCACTATATACAAGTCATATCCACAGTGTCGTTGCTTTATCTGCCCAAGATTTATCCTGGGAATGGTGACTGGTTGGGTAACCCTACTGGGTATTGAGCTATGGCAGATAGCCAGGATATGATTTGCGCCAATATGAAATCCTTCCAAAGGGGCACGAGTCGCTATTCGGCTTGTCCCGGAATAACACGAGTTGGTCACGAATCATTATATAGTATTATTGTTTTGAAACTCGTAGCGATGTATAATTACATTTCCTAAAATTGTTGGAAGCGCACGTACAATATCCATAACAAGCCCGCAAGATCGTCAGAAATACACTCAGTTGGACCCATGAGAGCCGTTATGTCAACAAACGCACGTGAGTGTGTTTGTATCTCTCACCGTCAGTCGCATGATTCTTATTAAAAACTTCATAATAGGCAGCAAAATCCTGTTAGCTACGTTCTTTGTACTTTCAATATGGCAATATATATTTTTCATGATTTTTTAAACAATGCCATAATGCCATAACGATTTAAGTACTCGGGATTATATTTATCAAAGTACCGCGGTAATTTACGAGCGTTTTGATTGGTTTGTCGTATTTTCGCACATAACAAGCATCGAGAGGGGGACGAGTCTTCTTGGAGTTTACGGAAAGGGGCGAGTGGTGACGAATGCTTCCCTGCATGGACTCTGGGTTGGATAAGGCGCCAGAAAAGGGAGGTAATGCAATTATCGGGACGAGCCTTAGATGCATCCAGGGTACTATTGGAGATTTACCGGAACGTATACCCTGGAGATTATCGAGGATGGGTTTAGATTGGCATACAGAAAACTTTGAGGCCTTAGGTATAATTTTGAATGTTAACTTGAGTGATCTGTGGGTTATTAACACAAGGCAAAGACTAAAAGCTATTTCAAACATTCTTGGAAATAGGAGGAAAAGGAAGTTGACTATTCTTTGGAAGATTACTGTTATAAAAACTTTGGCTGTATCCACACTAGCTCATATTTTTACATCTCTCCCTAATACTCCAAAACATTTTATTGATGATATTGAGAAACTGTTTTTCTCATATATTTGGAATGGTAAACCGGATAAGATAAAAAGAGTAAATTTAAAAAAGGATTATGGGGACGGAGGAATTAGAATGATTGGTATAAAGTTCTTTATTGATGCATTGAAAATATCCTCCATAAAGAGATGTTTTAAGAATGAAAGTTATAATAACCCGTGTAATGTTCCCATCGGACAACTTGCAAGTATTGAGGGTAATATAGACCAATATTGTAATGTGGACAATCCATTTTGGAAAGATGCCCTGCAAGCATGGAAGAGATATATAGGTCTTTTTACAACCGATCAGAATGATATTTCCAAAATACTTCCGGAGCCGTTCTGGTTCAAGCATCAGCTTTCGGATCCATCTATATTTATAAAATATTGGTTTGATAACGGAATTAAAGACATAAAAATACCTCTGTAACTCTAATGGTCTGTTGTCTTTTGATGAGTTCGAGACCAGATGAGGAACGTTCTTAGACAGGAACGTTCTTAGACAGTAACACGGTGATTAAAATATCCCAGTGTCCTGGAGAGATGCTGTCACTAATACTAAATTCGTAAACCAAAATCTAGTGATCCGTGATGCAGTATATTCACTTTTTGTATCTTCCAAAGGATGTTTTATGACAAATTCACAAAAACTGATGTTTTACCCGAGGTGTGTAGCAAGTGGGAAAGTTTGATTACTATTTCATTACCAAATTGGATTTTCCCAGATCAGTCGACCCAGTCTGCAGCATTCCGATGGCCCTCTCCCGCTCTTCTGCTGTTAATCTCGGCATTGTAGTGAATGTACGGTGTGAAAAGATAAATCTAGGGGCCTTATATACCCGTTTCCAACAGTTTTCACGTGCATTTCATGCAAGGTGAAGTTACAATGGGTACGTTTTGGCGTTATGCTTCCTTATACAAGGACAGAAATAGGCAAAATTTTACAGTATCTAAGGGAAAAAATTAGTCTTTTCTCGTTTGTCGACTCTTCCTAAAACCGTCGAAAGTGATGATGATCCAAAAATTAAACCTCAAGTGGTTGGAATGTGTTTTAAAGAGGGAGAGAGGGCCATTGGAATGCTGCAGACTGGGTCGACTGATCGGGAAAAATCCAATTTCAGCATTGGGTCCCTTTTTACGGTAAACAACCATTCTTTCATATCCAAAACCCAACTTTATCACTCTTTGTGAATGTGCATGCATTATCTGGTTATATATATATTTATTTCGGTACTGAAAGGCCACAGGCCTGTAGTACAATGCATTTATAAATCAATATTTACACGCACGGATAATATACATGAAGAAGGGAAAATAATCAACTTTAGGTTACATTGTGTTCTGAGATATATTCTGTCCTAAACAACATGGCATAGTAAACAAACATGGACAAGTTTTGAAGTATAGTATGGGTTTTGTTATTCAACAATGCTGAGAATTTATAAAGGTTTGGATGGGCACAATAATATTTCTTAATATACAACTTTCTGATGGAATTATAAGCAGGGCAAATTAAAAGAAAATGATATTCATCTTCTATTTGGTTAAGATCACATAGTTTGCAAGTTCTATTTTCTTTTTGACATTTTTAAATCTTCCACTTTCGATAGATAAATCATGTGAAGAACATCTCAATCTGCTTAACGCTATCCTATACTTTTTACGTTTAGACATGAAAGATAAGTTTCGGAGTCAAAAGTACATTTAAACACCTTATAATACAGACATTTACTGGAAAGTGATATCTTTTCAAACCATTCTTGCAAGTAGATATCTTTTTAATCTTTGTGTTAGTTCTAAAATAAACTTACCCTCAGAATCAACATACTGATCGTTCCATACAAAACCAAACCCTTTCGAGAATAGAAAATGTCTAACAGCAGAAACCCAATTTGTGTGTCCATTCTTATCGAATAGCATCATCATATTGTAACATTTCTTTGGTAGCCTATAAGAAGGCATCTTCAGTAATTTTAACCAGTATTTTATAACTCTGATATTTGTAAATAAGTGCATCGGGTATTTACCACATTCTCCATAAACAATATCATTTGGACCCATTTTTAGCTGTTTTTTACACTTTTGATTTGAATTTTTACATGATTGAAAATAGGACAATGGACCCCACCTAAACAAACATGTCGATATCCTAATTATCAATGAATTCCTCAGTCTGATGTTTTGACTCAATAGAGGTTAATGATTGGTTGTTAAAACATACCAAACCAAAGTCTTCTATCCATATAACATTTTAGAGGATATGCTAATGTTCAGAGGTGTAACATTTCTTTTGGCGTTCAGTTTATATACCAAAAGACTGACTGACTGAGTTTGGTTTTACGCCGCTTTTAGCAATATTACAGCAATATCACGGCGGGGGACACCAGAAATGGGCTTCACACATTGTACCCATGTGGGGAATCGAACCCGGGTCTTCGGCGTGACGAGCCAACGCTTTAACCATTAGGCTACCCCACCGCCCCTATACCAAAAAGAATTAATGAAAATGAAATTAGTAGATGGAAATTTGATATGAGTTAAATGCGAGGGAACATCAGCTGTTGTCCAAAATATATCATTGTGAACAAAGCTTAAAGCCCTTAGTGACTTCAGACGAGATATCACGGAAAGGTTGACATATTTGATTCGACAAAACTCCATGTTGAAAACGTGTATGTTCAGTCGTGTAAGCCCATCTATAAAATCATCTATAATATTCCGCAAACACCTGTTTGCTGAAAGGTCAAGAGATCTGAGGTTGTTTTGCAAACTATGAAAGGATTCCTGTCAAACTTTCGGACACACTACTGTATCTAAGATCAAGAATCTCTAGCATCAACATGTCTTGAAATGCGTCTCTGGAGATGTTTGTGATACCGTTGTTGCAGAGTATCAGAATTTTAAACTGTAATGTATTTCGAAACATGTGTCTAGTTAGCTCTCAAAGGTGGTTTGATGAAAAGTTCAGAAACTCCATTGTAGGTTACAAGTCTGGAATCTGTGTGAGATTCGCTCCGTTGTTTATACATCTGACGCATTTAGCTGAACAGCTACACAAACTTTCAAAACAAGGTCTATACACTTCTCTACATAGAACAGTCTCTCCTTCCGCGTTAGACGTCAGTGATATAGCGCAAGATATTGCACAAATTGTTATTTCCAGAAGACCCGCCATGCCTTTTCGAATAGCTGTGTTAAATCCTCAGATTAAGATGTAAGATTGCTTCTTATTTTAAATCTGAAATTAGAAACGAGACCCATGATAACTCCAGACACGTCTTGAACAGCAGCCATTGAAACTACTGATACGTTTTAAAGTTACATGTATATATTTTGTTCTGTATATATGCAAAACAACACCTATGTTTATTAACCCACATACGGCTAATTACATTCATATCCTCATTATGTTTATATGAGTATTTTGACCCTTCTGGCACATCATACACTGATTTTAGATATGCACGTGCTACGATCAAAGGCGTTGTTACGTGGTTATCTCCAAGCTGAAATGTTGATAATCTCTACCATGGCCCACCAGGAGTCCAGGCCCCGATTTCTCGAAACAAACTTAAGTCTGAGTTTTTACTCAAATTTGAGAAAACGCAGGAAAATGCATTTCCCAGAATAAACTGAAATCAATATTAAACTCAAACTTAGTAGACAATTTGAGTTTGGTGGATAGATTACTTAAGTTGTTTTGGTTTTTTATTTAAAAAATGCAGTTGAGTTAAAAATTCAGCTGTTTCAAATTGTCAAACTCAGTTTGAAATTTGAGTATAAACTTAAGTTTGTTTCGAGAAATCGGGGCCTGGTCTCAATCCCATAGATCATGTTTGGGACATCATGGGTCGTAGACCACGCCAATACGATCCTCCAGTACCAAACCATGATGTATTGGAACAAGCCGTCCATCAAGAATGGAACGCAATACCTAAACGTCCAACTCAACGTCTGATACGGTCAAGAAGAGAGTCAGCGATTTTGCAGTTGGCACAGTTACACCAGATATTGATATTGTAATCGGTTATTGATATTTATGTGATATTTGAGGATTATGCCAAAATCTTGAAAATGACCTCACATGTTAACGTCATACATGTACGACCACAGTTATCAAAATTAGTCAATATTTTGTCATGTATTCTTTTCTGAACAAACTCCAACTTTTGTCGTTTAGATATGTCATTTAAAGGTAAGCTAGAGACAATATGAGCACGTAAATAATGTAGGCATCATCAAAATCTCAAAATATCGTAGCTTTATTTTCCTAAACTAGGTATTTTCAATCACAAGCATCAAGTCGGGCAACGATGTGAAATGTATTAACTATATGCTGTAAAAAACAGGGAGTCAAGGGAACCGAAATTTGATTGTAGTGATTCCATATATATATATATCTAAACATATGAATGAAATCCATATTTCGGCCATGATATTCACCATTAAATCACGATAAAAGCGGATTTTACCCAAAGTAAACAAACGCTTCTCAAACATATAGTATGAAGAAGTAACCACTTATATATGTCGAAGTCAATAATATAATACGAACCTCATTCGTAGACGTAGTTGTAGCAGAAAGACGCTTCATGTGTGGTGCTTGATGTGTTGCATGATCAAATGAACATGCCCCAGTTTCATGTTAAAATATTTCCTTCAATAACCTCGGAGTAAAGGTCCCCGACTACGCCGACAGTTTTCACCAATGAGTGCTATTCTTGTTTAGTTTCACAGTGGGTGAGTTTGGTTTGTGAAAGTAGTTACGGATTGTTTGGGTAGTCTAGTGGCTAAAGCGTTCGCGATTGCAGACAGCGAGTGAATAGCCCGAGGGCAGAGACAGAAACATTCGTGACCAACTCGTGCTATTCCATTACAAGCGGAATAGCGACTCGTGCCCCTCTAGAAGGATTTCCTATTGGCGCATGAAGATCAGACCTACTTTAAACAGGTATCCTCCCAAAACTTCCACAGCTTATAACGACAACATTTCTGGTTGACTGCACACACTTTAGCATACTGTGTGTGGTAGTATTGGGATGTGGAATTTTTAGGATGTGGAAGTTTTGGGATATAACCCTTTAAACAAGAATGATAACTTTATTCCTGTTTGATTCCGGGGGTACTTACTATCAACGAAGCACTCGTATATTGTGTTGCTTTTTTTATAGTTATTTATTTTGATACAACTAAAAGAAGGAGAAAACATATTTGTTAAACACTTTTTCTAACGTAATTAATACCAGCTGTTCACCATATATTTACACATATCTCCAGTCACGTGAAATATAAGGCCAGTGTTAAAGATTAAAGTTGATTAGTGACATGTCGATGCAATATTGTTGTTTTGAAACTCGTGGCGATTTATAATTATATTTCCTTAAAATGTTGATAAGTGCACGTACAATCTCCAAAACAAGCCCGCAAGATCGTCCGAAATGCACTAAATTTGACCCATGAGAGCCGTTATGTACACAAACACACGTGCGTGTATTTGAAACTTTCACCTTCCATGGCATTATCCTCATTAAAAATTTCCCATGAGGCAACACATTTCCGTTAGCTAGACTCTTTGTACTTTAAATATGGTGACACACATTTTCCATATTTTTTTAAACAATGAGGTAATGCTTTAAAGAATACTCGGGATTATTTTTTATAAAAACACCACAATCATCACTGGATGGGCAAGATAAGCTCATCTTTTCACGAACACGGGCATGTTAAATATCTGTGGTGTTCCATAGACGGTGTTCATCACATAGTCAGAATCGTACAATCTGCTCTGCTATCAGAGCATGTATACGATTTCATCGCAATTATGTGAGTGGCACAATTGTTAATGATAAGTTCTTCTTCCTATAAGCTACTGTTACATTATGAACGATCTATAATACAGCAAACACATCCCACACAATCATCGAGTATCTTAATTCGATTATTTTCTAAGATCTGTTTTTTTGCATTCTAATTAAAGATCAGTCATAAATCACTTTGACTGACTGAACACAATGAGGAACCTGGGGTCAGTGTCTCTGCATTCGTCAGAACATGGCTGACAAAGACACATCCGCCACTGAGGCAAAGGCTTGAGATGACAGAAAGTCACAAACCTGGAAGAAAAAGTTACCCTTGGCCCATTGCGAGACAAATGTTGCATGCTCAATTAACTACTCTTGGCAATTAAAAAGATAAATCAAATTAAACTTGACTCGCGTTGATATATACGTTCAAGTGTACAAAACTGTTTAAGTTCAAGAAACAATTTGTAGCTTTGGTAAATATATAATTTGTATGTTTCAAATTTGTGGTAAAATATGACCTCTGAATCATGTGGCTTTGGACTCAATAAACTCCTTGTACCTTGATGCTCATGTCGTTGTATATTCTGCACTTCCTCAAAGACTTTTGGGTTTTATAAAATCAAAATCAGTGAATCACATATTTTCACAATGTAAATAAACAGACAAACCTATTTACATATTACTGCAGAGTTCGATTTATTGTGACGATTATGACTTTATCACTAGCATGTGTTATAAATCACTCTCAAATGTTGATGGGGCGGTGGGGTAGCCTAGTGGTTAAAGAGTTCGCCCGTCACGCCGAAGATCCTGGTTCGATTTCCCACATGGGTATAAGGCCCATTTCTGAAGTCCCCCGTCGTGATATTGCTGGAATATTGCTAAAAGAGGCGTAAAACGTAATTCACTCACTCCCTAATATTGATGACACAATAAATATGAAACCTGTTTATTCACCTTAACTATGCTGACATGCATTTAACTTTCGTTTATCTAGCTGCACCATGATTACCTTTGGCGAAAAGTACAGGCATTATAGTGAGTGAGTGAGTTTAGTTTTACGCCGCGTTCAGCAATATTCCAGCTATATGGCGGCTCAGGCATTATAATCTGAGTGGACTGTACAATGAAAGCTACATGAAACACCAAAGAATCCGTTACATTATACATTTATTTAAGTTAAATAAGAATAAAATTACATTTTAGGTTTGTGCGATTATAATTGAAATCATCTGAGAGACCTGTCATCAATTTATCAATAAACACCTACGTCTCCCTGGTGAAGTATTTTGTTTACACGGACCTTTATTTACACGTCACTATACATTATTAAATCACGTAGCGGGGTTTCGCCGGGTGACATGAAAGTCCTGACAGAGTGTCAGTCAGTCGGGAAGACAGGTGTGTAATTAAGTTATACGTATGTTGTGAAGTAGCAAGAGATAGTGACTGTCAATGATCTTGGCCACATCACCGTGAACATGCATAAGGTTGGGAACAAGGTAAATATATCATACAGCGAAAAGAACAGCAGCTTAACATAAACTCGTTATTATTAATGTTATGATGCAAATGATATATGCTTGCTATTTTTCTTATATATCCTTCCATTCATTAGCCCAGTGGTTAAAGCGTCAGCTCGTCAAAGTCCCTTCTGTATCAATCCAAGTTCCGTCTCTTGTCTCCAAGTGGATCTCTGACTTCCTTGTGATGGAAGAACGTCATATCCAAGGAGACTAAAGATTGCAATATTCATTAAAGTTATCGCATTTCTACCTAATCCTCCTGGTGTTTTTCTTAAGGAACTTAACAAAATATTATTTAATTTTGTATGGAATCAAAAACCTGACAGAATAAAGAGAAAAACAATATGTAGACCAGTTAAGGAGGGTGGATTGGGTATGATTAATAAATTTGAATATGTAAAAGCTTTGAAGGTGACTTAGATGAGAAAACTAGATACTAAAGATCCCAAGTGGAAATATATTTAAATGTTAGTTATTGTAAATGTAGTGAATTTGATAAACATGGCAAAGAATTTTTGAAAAAAATTGTCAGAAATCTGAAAAATCTCTTCTGGATTGATTGTTTCAATGCTTTTTGTGATTTTTCAAGTAAAATTAAACCTGATAATTTTAAAGATTTCTTGTCTGATCAGATATTTTATGATAACAATATTGTTATTGATAAGAAAACTATTTTTTATGAAGGGTGGTTTCAAAGGGGTATCTTTCAAATTTGTGATCTTGTCGATGAAAATGGCAGTTATCTGTCTCTGGTTGATTTTAATGAAAGGTATCAATTGAATGTATCTTTTTTAGAATACTATGGAGTCATTAGCTCTATGAGAAAATATTTTGCTGGCTTGTCAATTGTGAAAGAAAACACTGGACAATGTGCAGGAAATACACCAATTACTCGGTTGTTACTTTCAATTAATAAAAGCTCAAAAGCCTATTACTATATATACTTTGTTCTTCAAATAGGAGACCAAGAGCACAGTTAATGTGGCAGGATGGATTTTCAGTGTGGTCTTGACTGGAACTGTATTTTTCTAAAATCGTTTAAATCAACACAAGACACCAAATTGAGATGGTTCCAGTACAGGATACTCCATAGAATTTTAACTACCAATACTTTTCTTTAAAAAATTAAAATAAAAGATTCTGACTTATGTTCATTCTGTAATGAAGAAAAGGAATCTATTTGTCACTTGTTATGGGAATGTGAATTTGTGCAAACCGTTTGGTCAAAATGTTTATCATGGTTAACAGAAGGTTGTGACCACATCCATAATCTCCAACTCAATATGGAACTGATAATTTTTGGCTGTAAGAAAAATGTTTTTACTGACTCTGTGTTTGGCCTGTTCATATTATTGGGAAAATATTACTTGTACAAATGCAAGCTCATTTCTGTTTTACCAAATATTGCTCAGGTCAGAAGTGAGTTGAGATTGAGATATAGTATTAAAAAATGTATTTTCTTTAGCAAAAGCTGTAACGTCGAATTTTATTCTAAATGGCTCTTATATCATGGCTTCTTCAAAGACGACTGAATTAGTTATATTCTTAATATGTTTGATAATTAAAATAAATCTTGTATTTGTGTGAATGGTGAGTGAATGGATTGTCTTGTTTCGTAAACGTTTTCCACCTATATCCCATTAAATTACTGTATATCTTCGAACTGAGCTGTCGCCTGGCTGCTTAGTTTTGACTGTAACAGGGAATCAGAAATAAAATTTTAATTACAAAAAAGTTATTGCATTTCGATGGTTATGACTGTGGTGGTTTCTGTTACCCTCCTCCCCTTCTCTCTCTCTCACATCACTTGTGCGACAAGGTAACGCCGCAGCATATATACGACGGACCCGTGAAGATCCTGGTTAGAATTGATCTTCAGTAACCCATGCTTGTCGTAAGAGGCGACAAACGGGATCGGGTGGTCAGGCTCGCCGACTTGTTTGACACATGTCATCGTATCTCAATTTCGTAGATCGATGCTCGTGATGCTGATCGCTGGATTGTCTGGCCCAGACTCGATTATTTACAGACCTCCGCCATATAGCTGGAATATTGCTGAGTGCGGAAACCTGCACAGGAGAAACTTCAAAACCAGAATACAAATTAATCTATTTTGGGTAAATACGGTAAAGGTTTGGGCTAACGCAGCAGGGTTGAGTTGCACGTGAAAATGGTGTCACGTGAGAGAGGTTTCTTGTTGTTTGGAGAAGAATGAACAATCATTCGAGGTCTTCGCACTGTGCAGGCGAGACGTTATCTCCATTACGTGTTTTCCATTGAGCAGCAGGCAGTTTTTCATCCCTATAGCCCCCAGGAGTTGGAAGAACAACGAGAACAACAAGGGTATGAAACATTTCCACTGTTTAAAGATTATATGGACATAGAATTAAAAACATTTCAACTAAGATTATTGAAGAGACTGAACAAAGATCAATAACTAGCATTTAGAAGTGCTTACAAAGATTCCGAAATTCCTTCATTCCGATTCAAAGGAAATCAAGTTCAATCAAGTTCAATTTCAATCTTTCAGACTTATTCAGACACAACGTTATGCAGAGGGTTTAGAATCTCTGCAAACACTTTCTGCCGACATACACAGGTGAAACAAACATATTAGGTTGGCTGATCGTTCTCCTTCTGGTTGGAGTGTTGTATCAGAGTTGGAAGGTGATGAAATTGCTTCAGGTTCAGAGGAAAAACGTAGGTTTGAGAAAGCTGAGATGAAAGCCTTAAGCAAACGATGTGCTTCCTCCCTTAGGCCCAGAGGAAAGTATCAGAATGTATCAAATACTATGTCTTCTCCACCTAAAGTACTGTCGGAAATAGAAAAAACCCTGTTTTATAGCATTTATATCTACAATTTATGTAGTTAATGTGTGAAAGTGTGAAACATCTGTTAAAGTAAGTTCGGCCTAACTACAGTCTCAGTAATAGGGAGATAGGAAACGTAGAAAAAGGACTTTACTGAGGAGAGATTAGTGCAGAAATGAGCAAAGTGACTTATTTGGAACAGACCATGGCTTTATGCAAATTAGTGTGCGATGATATTGTTTTACAAAGGTCATTTTTAAGTGCCCATTTTGAAATTAAACTTAGCTTAATTATACACGATAGCTGACGTAAAAAACCCCAAAACTTTAATACTGAAACTATTAAGGATATAGCTACCATGGAATCTCACTATCACTATAAAAAGAAACAGGTAGGTCGTCTCAGATGCATAACCAGGCCGGGTGTCGCAGACAGTGGTTGGGGTCGGGCTGAGATAAGATCATCCTTTAGGGGAATTAAGCTGGGGAACTGGGGAAGCAAACGACATGTCATTACAATTTACAAATATTATCCAGTCCTGTCGATCTTCGTGTGGTCATGCCACATATATATTTTGAGATATTTAATACGATAGCTGATTTAAGCTTTTCTATGGGTGTCATATTCTTTTACATATCTCAACATAAACCTAATGAAAGAAAGAGACGTAAGATGTTAATCAATAGATGAGACATATTCAACACACATGAAAAAGTATAATTATCTTTGAGATGACCCCTTGTGCCTGTAGGCAGCACATGCATTTCATACCAGGTGAGTCGACGGTCCGTCGTCATACCTGGCCGAGCGACCTAATTGCAAACTATAGTCTGATCTATTGTTTTCAGCATCTATTCGGTTTTGTAATACTATATCTCAAGCTGAACTCACTTCTGACCTGACCAGTTTTGCCCGATTTTACGAGTAAACATGCTTTTCTGAATATCCTATTCCGCATCCCACTGAACGCCCAGTTGATTATTGCTGATGTGGGCTGATGTGGGTTATTTCGACATATGTTATTTGCAATTGTGTAAATTTTAGGGATGCAGAGTAACAGCCTAAAATCAGTCTTTTTCTATTTCCGACAGTACTTTAGCAACGATGTTAATGTTAATGCTTCAAGTTTATACCCAATGCAGAATCAACCCTTTCGTTCTGTCAAACGAGGCCCTTCCCAAAACCAACAATGTTTCTACTGCGGTGGATTTGGGCACTGAAGGGCGTCTTGTCCCCTTGCAGCTTCTCAACGCGCAGCTCAGACAGCCAGTACATCCCAGCGTGAGCAGTCAAGCGAAACACTCAAGAAGTAGTACAACCTCAGATCGTCGAACAAGTTTGTCGGACCCAAGAGCGGCACATGATACAAACCCATTCAGTTTGGTCAAAGGGAACAGTCGAGTTCAGGGATGTGGAACAGCTGGTGGAAATAGCGCGGACTTTGAAGGTACTTTTGCAAAACTAGATTCGGTTTGTTTACAAGAGTTTAGAACATACGAGTTCGAATCCAAATCTACATTTATTGTCAAAGGTAGTTTAAGGAGGCATTATTGTTTTGGATTGGCATTGGTGCTCCAAACTTTGTTATTGACACTATACGTGATGTCTACATTATTCCTTTCATTGAGGGGCGGTGGGGTAGTCTAGTGGTTAAAGCGCTGGCTCGTCACGCCGAAGACCCGGGTTCGAATCCCCACATGGGTACAATGAGTGAAGCCCATTTCTGGTGTCCCCCGCCGTGATATTGCTGGAATATTGCTAAAACCGTCGTAAAACCAAACTCAGTCAGTCAGTCCTTTCATTGAAAGTCCGGCTTCACATTTTGCTAATAATATAAGCTATTTTCAGCTATCAAAAATGCAGAGTTCGTTACAGACGCTATTCAAGAACTCCTGAAAAACAAGTGTATTATTCGGCTAGATACTCTACCTCATGTTGTCAATCCTCTGTCGGTTTCCATACAACGTTCAGGAAAAAAAGTGGCTCATTCTAGACTTGAGGTTTGTAAATCAGTTTGTGTGGAAAGAAAAGATTGTTTTCGAAGGTCATAAAACCGCCTTAGATTTTGTCAAACAGACTGATTACATGTTTAAATTTGACTTAAAGTCAGGGTATCATCACATTGGCATTCATCCTAGCCAGCAGCAGTTTTTAGGTTTGCTTGTAAGTTTAATGGTTGTGTAAAATATTTCTGTTTTACGGTATTGCCTTTTGGCCTCTCGTCTGCCCCGTACAGTGTTTACGTCCTTGAGTTAAACACTGGGGAAACATTCAATTAACATTGTGGTATACCTTGATGATGGTTTTGGATACGATGAATCTAGAGAATTATCTTCTCAACATTCTGATATGGTAAAAGATACTTTGGACAAATCTGGTTTCGTATATAATGTTGAATAATCATGATGATCAGTGTGGGCTCCAAACACAAAAATGGAATGGCTCGGATTTGTTTGGGATTTAGATCAAGGTGTTCTTTCCGTTTCGGAGAGAAAATAGAGGATATAATATGTATTTTTGAAGGTTTCGTTGCTGCTTTACCTAGATTTACAGCGAGAAGTTAGGCTCGTTTGATAGGGAAGATCATATCACTGACTCCAGTATTTGGCGATATTTGTCGTCTGCTTTCAAGACAGATGCATGCAGTGATTCAGAAGTCTTCGTTCTTCGTCTTGGGATAAAGTTTTAAAAATGAATAATCCAGAATGTGTTCACGAACTGTTGTTCTGGAGAGACAATCTTCATTCCTTAAAGCCCAGATTGTTATCAGTGAGTTATATGCCCATGATTGCTGTTTTTTCTGATGCGAGTGATATCGGTTGCACAGGTCATATTGCAAGCTCTGAATGAACATGTATTTCAATGTACATTGGACTTGGAACAGGCTAAATTAAGTTCAACTTGGAGGGAAATGAAGGCTGTTGAATTAACTCTGAATGCTTTTTCAAACATATTGTGTGGAAAATCTATGAAATGGTTCACAGACAGTAAGCCTTGCTGTCACAGACTTACAAAAGCTTGCTATGTCAATATTTTACAGCTAGTCTTTACAGTATAAGGTTAAAGTTCAGTGGGATCCCTAAATTGGAGAATGAAAAGGCTGAAGCTGTTAGCAGATTTGAAGATTCTGATGACTGGAAAATAACAGATTTGGTTTTCAGAATCCTGGATAAAAGATGGGTCCCACATTCCATCGACCGTTTTTCAAATCACGTTAACAACAAGTTAGTGAGGTTTAATTCCAGAGTTTGGGTTCCTTGCACAGAGGCAGTAGATACGTTCACACAACAATGGGCGGGAGATAACAACTGGGCTGTCCCACCAGTACACCTTATACCGAAGACTATTCGGTTTGTTTTGAGTTGCCAAGCACAAGCAACTTTAGTTGTTCCTATGTGTGGTTCTGCCCCGATTTGGCCAATGCTGTTTTGGAAGGACAAACCTAGACATTTCGTTTCAGATATGATACAGCTTAGTGCTAACAAGTCCATTACAGGTGGCAGCAAGAAAGGTCTATTTGATAAGTTCAGTACACACATTATTGCAATCAGAATTAACTCTCTTTGTTGAATTTTGCAGATTTGTTTTCCGCGGGCATATGGAAGCAGCGTGAATCTTTGGTCCATGAAGATTTACTACATCTGTCAAGGAAAATGGCTAATATTGTTTGTAAATCGAAAGCAACTTCTACAATTCATAAATACAAAGGGGCTGTGAAATTATGGCAAAAGTGGGCATCAACGTTTGATGTTTGGTTTATCTTACCTCTCTTATTCAACAAGGTAAACATTCACCGACTGTAGTTAAAGCTATATATGGTATAAGCTGGGCTCACAGAATGGCGGGTTTGACAGATCTGTGCCAGAATGATCTTATCAAGAACATCAGAGAAGCAGCTATGAGGCATTACAGTGAACCAGTACACAAGAAAGAACCGATTGATACTGATATGTTGAGAAAGTTGGTTTATGAGTTTGGTAAAACAGATTTTTCGCTGTTAGACTTAAGGTTTCTTGGAAATGTCAATTATTTCGTTTGCAGGCTTTTTCAGATTTTCTGAGTTTGTTAGTATAAGAAGGTCAGATATAACTATCGCACACTGAGGAGAGACGCACCTATTTCATATTCTAGAGCCAGAGAAATATTTATTGAAAAATTCAAAGTTATAGGGGAAAATGTTAAGAAAATAGGATTGCATAGTTTTCGTTCTGGTGGCGCCACGACTGCCGCTTGTGCAGGTGTACGAGACCGTCTGTTCAAAAGACATGGCCGCTGGGCCTCTGAAAATGCGAAAGACGGCTACGTGTAATAATGTGTTTATTTCTTGCAGTTTCAGGCCATTGGCCCACAGAACATAGGGTTATGACAATAATTCGTACATACTGAGTGAAAACGATACATAGAAAGGGTGATATGTGGACAATCAGGTTTGTGATGAATGCTGTTTAAATGAAAAAAATACAAATTTTGATAGAGATACAAGTGCGCATTTACTTTCATACGACATCCATTCAATAAATTTACTGTATGTAGGATTAGAGTGATATTTAGGTTTCAGGTACTTACTTCTTAGATATTTATAGGCACCACATACAAGCAAAAAGTGATATTCATTTTCAATTTCATAAGTTCCAAAACGTAGACACTAGGCACATAGTCGGTCTTCTTGTTCTATGTTGAGATGTCGTCCTTTCTCAATCATGAGGGTGTGGCAGGAGCATCGGAATCTTAATAGGGCTTGTCTAAATAAGTTTATCAATATGAAGGAGATAATGTTCTATAGTTAGAGATGACTTGAAAAGCGAGTAAGCATAGAGTTTAGAGTTTGAGTTCATTGAAGTGTGCCATATTTGGATTGCAGAGTCTCTCACTCTAACGTTGGTAACCCAGGAAGTACACGTCTAACGTTGGTAACCCATGAAGTTCTGCCGATATCATCCAGGTCTGTTATATGTAAGATTATAGTCCAGTATTTGATAACTTTGAAAATACAGTTAGTATATATTTTATATCTCCTAGAACGACACTCTCCTAGAACGGCATCATTACTGGCTGAGGGTGGTAAATACAAAATCCTCTTGAAAAATTTAGTTCGAACTTTTTCCAATAAATCGAGGTTACTAAATCCCCAGATTTCTGCGCCATACGTAAGAATAGGCAAGATCATACTGTCAAAGAGTTTAGCTGCTGTTGAGATAGGTAGACCGCCAGTTCTGTTATGTAGTTTATAAATAAGTAGACTTGTCTTTTCTGCTTGGCTTGATAATACTTGTATCGTTTTAGTCCATATAAATGTTGGTGTAAAGAAGAGTCCACGATATTTGTAGGTTGAAACAGTCTGTATTTGCTGGCCATTGTAATACCACTTTTCGTAACTTCGGAGTATTCCTCCCTTTCTGCAAACAACAATCTTTGATTTTTCCAAATTTAGGCTCAATCCCCACTATCACAGAAACTGCTTACACAGTCGATTTGTTGCTGTAATCTCCCGACTGAATCTGCAGAATTAGCGATGTCATCAGCGTATAATAACGAGCAAATGTTAGGCGCTTCTTCTGTGATATCCCTCTGCACTGAAAATGGTTAAGTTCTGTAATCAGCTCATTTATATAAAACGAGAACAATAACGGGCTCACCATACATCCTTGACGGGTGCCGATGGAACATGAGAAAAGGTCTGTGAGACCATATTTAGTACGAATACATGATTTTAACTTCGAGTACATGTCGCGTAAAACTGAAAGAATGTGTCCATGGATGTTATACTGAATGAGTCTGTGCCACAGATGTGAATGTTGGATGCTGTCGAACGCCTTTAAAAAGTCTATAAAAAAGCAATAGAATCGTCCTCCAGACGACTTGGATAAATACTTGCTGATCATTCCCTGAAACGTAAAGATATTGTCAACAGTAGAATATTTCTTTCGAAATGCAGCTTGATTTTCAAATATTATGTTTTCGTCCTCCGACCATGCTTGAAGTCTGTTATTGAGAATTTTAGTGAACACTTTCCTGTGATAGAAATTAAAGATACTCCACGATAATTGTAAACGTCATTCGGCGAACCTTTCTTGTTAATAGGGCAAATAATCGCTTCACACCAGCTTTTTGGGAAATGACCTTTAAACAGTAATTGATTAAACAATTCCACCAATATGGGAGCAATAGTTGAAATCGAATTTTTTAAAATTCCAGCTGTAATTCCATCAGTTCCTAGAGATTTGTTGTGCTTGAGGTCTCTGATTGTCTTTGTCACCTCATCTAAAGTAACTGATTTATTTAACTGCTCAGGTAATCCGTCTGTACAGCTGTC